AACTGCCGCTGCACGTACGGCACTCAGAGTAAACCCTCCATCCCCCACGTTGTCCGTGCCCCTCCCTTTGCTTCCTATTGACTGGCACTCCCGAAACCACGGCGCTCTTAGGTTGCCTCGGCCGAACCATGATCTCCCTTCCCGTGGGCAGCAACTCGTACCTGCGGGCGGTAGAGAGGGAGGAGGTCCCCGTTAAAATTGTATGGATTCCAACTCTAAGCAATCATGCTCTGGCATTGCTTCTTGTAAAGTCTTTGGCGCCGCCCTCGGTGCGACGCCCTAATGCCGATAACGAATGCGAGGGCAACGTAATGATGACGACGACGGACAACTCTCTACCAACCTGTCTACTAATCACGCTGCTGACAAAATACACGCTGTCCTATGGCTAGAATATGGACTTGAAAAGGCCCTAAATCGCGTAACTGTCCCATCAAACCGGGGCGACGGGGCCAACCCCTTGACGATCGTCCTCGAACTTACCCACATCGTGAAGGCTTCATCGCAGGATAAAACCCCCAAGCCACGCACCTCGATATCTGGCAACCTTCCGGTACCAAAGGACACACCAGCACCCATCAGCCGCCTACAATGGCGCTCCTTTCCTCCACAGCCCTGGCCTACGCCATCCCCTTCACCCTCATCTACTACGCCCTCTCCCGCTACTTCGCCCACCGCCGCCTCCTCCGCTTCGCCAAAGCCCACAACGCAACATTCCCAAAACACATCCCCTCCCGCCTCCCCTTCGGCATCCAGTACGTCTGGCGCACCATCACCACCGCCCGCCGCGGCGGCGACATCCTCGACGACATCGTCGAGAAGAGCTACGCCGCCAACGGCGCCACCTTCACGCAGCCGGGCTTTTTCGGCCCGCGCGAGGTGTACACCGTCGACCCTCTCAACATCCAGGCGCTCCTCGCCACCAAGTTCCAGGATTTTGATCTGGGCGAGCGGCGCATCGCGCAGTTCAGCCCGCTGCTGGGGCGCAGCATCTTTACGGCCGACGGCCCGTTCTGGGAGCACTCGCGCGCGCTGTTCCGGCCGCAGTTCTCGCGCGAGAACATCAATGACCTGGCCAAGACGGAGGACGCGGTCAAGGCGCTGTTCGCGGCGCTGCCGATGGTGGGGAAGCCGGGCGATGGGTCTGTGACGGTGGACATCATGCCGCTGCTGTTCCGCTTCACGCTCGACACGGCGACGGGGTTCCTCTTCGGCGAGAGCGTGGACAGCCAGACGGCAGCCGCGACGGGGCGGGTGGCGAGCACGAGCGCCGCGGCGGCGATGGCGGCGGACTTGCAACGCACTGGAGGCAAGGAGGATATGACCTTCGCGGAGGCGTTCCACGAGGCCCAGATGTGGATCACGATGCGCGTGCGGCTGCAGGGCCTGTACTGGCTCGCGCCGAGCGGCACGGGGAAGCGCGCGGCGGGGTACATGCGGCGGTACGTCGACCACTACGTCAAGCTGGCCCTGAGCGCGGCGAAGCCGAGTAGGGAGAAGTACTCGCTGCTGGACACGCTGGCGGAGGCGACGCGGGATGAGAACGAGCTGCGGGACCAGATACTGGGGATCCTGCTGGCGGGGCGGGATACGACGGCGACGCTGCTGTCGTGGGTGCTGCTGCTGCTGGCGCAGCACCCGGCCGTGTTCGAGAAGCTGCGCGGGGAGATACTGAAAGAGTTTGGGGAGTACAGCGAGGACGCGGAGGGGATCGACTTTGGCGCGCTGAAGGGCGCGCAGTATCTGCAGTTCGTGCTGCGGGAGACGCTGCGGGTGTACAACGCGGTGCCGCTGAACCTGCGGATCGCGGCGCGGGACACGGTGCTGCCGCGCGGCGGCGGGCCGGACGGGATGCAGCCGGTAGTGGTGCGGAAGGGGCAGACGGTGAACTTCTCGCCGTACGTGCTGCATCGGCGGGCGGACGTGTGGGCGGAGCCGTTGGCGTTTCGGCCGGAGCGGTGGGAGGGGACGAGGCTGGATTGGAATTATGTGCCGTTCAGCGGCGGGCCGAGGATCTGTCTTGGACGTGAGTTGAAAGAGTTCTCATGGTGTGTGTGGTGATTTACTAACGTGTTAATGACAGAACAATTCGCTCTTACGGAGGCTGGGTTCCTGATTGTTAGGTTGTTGCAGCGGTTCAAGGCCATGGAGTGGGTTGGGCCGGTGGGCAAGCCGCGGAAGGATATCCATTTCACGATGGCGCCGAAGGATGGTGTTCCGGTCAGGTTGGTGTACGCAGATTGACGAGTGGCCCTGTAGACGGTGGTCGTTGAAGTTTGGGTAAGTCAGGTTCTGGGATACGGGTCTCGGTTCGGAGTTGTGCTGCAATAGAAACCTTTCGTAGTGGTATAATGGTTTACTCATGTTCAATCTACGTCTTGGCCATCAAGTTCCCCTGCCCTATAAACACCATATCGGAAGACTTCAGCTTGTCCAAAGCATCTCCAAATCCTTCCCACCCTGCCACGCAGCACTGTTTCCTGCACATATCAGACCGCCGGTTTCAATCTTCCAATAAACCAGTCCATCAGACAAAGCCCAAAAATCATGGATCAACACATGGCCGACCTGGCCGCGGCCCTCGCCGATGCCAACATGGAAATCGCAGTTCCAGGTTCATGACGGCTATGTGCATCAACCTGCCGCTGGCAACCACCGGCACGGCATCTGCTACGGCTGGCTTGGTGATTCACCACTGGTTCACCACACCTCGTGCAGAAACACCCTCCATCCTCGCGCAATAAGCATGTATTGCAAGCCTCTTGGAGAAGGAGACGACTGGCGATACTTTGGGTTATTCATGGTGAGGGAAAGTTTGTATATGCCGTACGGCATCAGCTGCGGTGCTCGTGGTGGATCGATTCTACGACACAACATTTGACCTAGTTTGAGATATTGCGTCTGTACGCGCATTCCCGCGGCACCAGTTTGATGGATCAGGAGTTTGAGGGTGTAGACATGTTATTTGGGTTGGACTATCCTCGATCAGAGGGCAAGGAAACGGTCGATCCTGGTTTGAGGCTTGGCTACAGGTAGCTATTCGTCATGTCTAATCTTAAGTCATTAGCGAGTGAACTTCAAAATGTAGATTTTCGCCTTGTTCTCTAGTGTCTACGCGATCACACTCCTTGTGAACTTCACCGCCTTGTGATTGTTCTTCGGTTGAGAACGACAGCAAGTGGAATCCGCATTTAGTAAAGATGATCTTGCCGCTGAAAGTGGCGACGACAATGATAATAACAATAACGACGACGATGACGATGCACGACAATGAAATGGAGCATATAGTCGCAGGAAAAGAAGGCACTCTGGTACTTAACGGATGAAGTATCTTTAATTAATTACAAAAAGCTCTCTCTTTAGTTTGGTAGGGAGATCTGAATATTTGGGTATCATGTGACGTTTGTATACTGAAAGTCTTATTGCTTCGAGCTTCAGCATTAAAGCAGCGCACTCATAGAGAATCTTCGGGTCTGGAAGGGCACTTGTCAGAAGGCTGCTTGAGGACTCAGAGAGCTCTATACACTGTACGTCTACATCATTCGTTGAAGCTCAACAGCGTGATTACCACTCGAGAACGGCGTATTTAGACGTGGTGCCGGGGTCAAGCTCTTTACATTTTGTCCAGTCACATTAAACAATCCCCTATTAATGGGGGTTTTGCTAGCCGGGCAGTGTCAGTCAGCTAGCCGGGTAGTACTAGGTATGTAGCACAATTAATACTTGCACAAGGATGTTAGCAATAGAGAAAACAATGCAAGTAGTGATAATAATGACGAAACACGACGACAAACGACGACGACGACGAAAGAGAGTACACAGGAAACATAGCCACTTCAAGAGGATATACATGTGTGTGGACGCTGCCTGAATAGCTAACTGACACTGCCGGGCTAGCAAAGCTCTTAATGGAACCAGGCAGGGCGGTCCCACCAGGGAACCCTTTTTGGCCTCGCAAAGCGTGTATACTCCTTTTCCCACTGACCTTTGGACACGCGATCCCAAAACATCAGCACTTGTTTGCAGTCCACCGTCATCCACCCCTTGTCCTCTCGAATCTCGCCCTCCTCCATCTCCTCAGCGTTAATGACTACGCCGTTGACATCGTCGTCTTCGAAACACTTGATGGCCTTGACAAACGCAACAGGCACCTCGCCCTCGCCCTCCGCAGCCATCGCCGCCTCGTATTTCTGAAACGACTCCAGACACTCGTCGTCGGCGTAGAGCAGGTACTTGAACATGGTCGGGTCGCGAGGCCCCTGGACTCGCTCGCCCCCGTCGTTGAAAAATCGTGCCCGCACGAACGCACGTCGCATCCTGTCAACTGACGCATACTGGGGCGGGAACTTCAATTCGTAAAGATACGGCCGTAACAAGTCGGTCTTCTTCTGGTCTGGTTCGAGCGCCCATCTGACGACCATGCCATCCCCAATGTTGTTCATATAGCGGTCCCAGAGGGGCTTGTCCTTGTCATCGAGTCCCGTGTGGGCGATGAAGAAGCCGAAGTAATGGGGAAGAGGTTGCCGTGGATTGGATCGAATCTCTCGCAGAGCTGCTTCGAAGGGAGGCGCCGATTCGAGTGGCGTCTCGCTGACGAGGCTGTTAATGGCGTTGATCTCGTTGGTGACGCGGCCGGGCAGCATCAAGGTTGCGAGATCCATGTTTGCGTTTATATTGGGAAATGTGATGATATCGATGATGAGGAGGCTGAAGCCCCCTTCTCGACGAGGCCAATAACTCTTAACAAGGCGACCGCCTCTTTCTCCAATGGAAGCCATATCGAACCTTGCAAAAAATCAAACTTCCCCAGGACTTCATCAGGGTTCTGTGTGCTCAATCGGGAGTTTTATTTCGCCGCGTGTCCCTCTTTATTCAAATCATCGCCCACCTTTGCAAGCACCCTGCCAGAGAGCTCATTCTATCAAGGCTATTCTAGTCCACTGCCATCCAGGCCTTCGGAACCTCTCGATACGGCAGTCAAACCCACACGAACCAAAACAATGACGATCACAACACCAAACAATGGCGGGCAACTCGCCCGCTGGCTCAACAGAAAAGGAGATCTATGTTTCGAAGTAGCCTTCTTCGCGACTGCCGCATTCTCATTCGTCGCCTTCGGCGTTGTCATCATTGCCCTCAGCTTGGTCGTCGGAGGCCTGCTCGTCGCGGGCGTCATATTGTTTGGCGCGGCGGATATGGTGGGCGAGAAGGTCAACGAGGTTGCTCCAACAGTGCAGGGTCAGGCACCGACAAACGAGTTGACGAAGCAGAAAGGTATCGCAAATCAGGAAGGTGCCACGAAGCAAAGTGACGTTCAAAAGAATGACGACGACGCTCGGGAGAACGACGACGACACTCAAACAAAGGACGGCCCCAAGAAGAACCGACGGGAGAAGAAGCAGCAGAAAACGGTACAACCAAAACCCGGGTTGCAGACACTAAAATTGAGGCCCACATCAGATTGGGAACGCGTGATATGCCTGAGTAAAGGGCAAGAGGTGGAGCGGAAGATGGATTGTACAGGACGGAGGAGCAATATTGACAAAGGTGGAACTTCAGAAAGTGCCTCGCGATTAGAGACTTTGGTTTAGTCATCGGCAAACCACCAACTTACTAAACGATGAAGGTCTTGGTATCAAAATACTTGAAAGCACTGCGCTGAAAGCAAAAACCTTGGCATAGGCTCGAAGGGCTTCTTTGCGTCGCGGTCGGGCCCAGAGGTGTGGATGAGGATACTGCCATCATGGGGGCTGAACTACGTTCCCGCCATTTTGACCTTCCAGGGTTCGTGTAGATCGCTCATGGAGAGTAGATGATAAAATCCAGCCCTGAGATTTAGTAGGCTTAGGTCACTTAATTTCATCACGATCGCTGCCACATGTTAAAAGAACCTCTCGCCTGGTGGTTGCGATCGTCGAAACTGGCGGAGTTTTCTCAACCCGGATGACGTGAACCTTACCGGAACGCTAGTATTCTGAGGGTCTTCATATTGCCGCCTTCACAGGTCAGAGTGTAATACAGCCGGAGGCGGCCGACTACCGGAAGGGCGCCGTGTTAATGCAGGTTCAGTCAACGAATACCGTGTAGATCTCATGTGGTTGAGTGTATGAGGAACCACAGGAAGAACCAAACGTAATGTCCATCCTCGGTCCCGTCGAAAGCAGATTACTTGCCGACCAAACCGCGTGTCAAGCCGAAACCAGGTAAACATCGAATGCCATACCAGACGCCTTTACGGCATAGCAAGAGAACGTCCGAACGCCTAGCCAACACCTCTACAATTGCCGGTGGTTACCTGGACTCAGCCTCTAGGGCGTACTCCTACTGCCCGTTCCGCGTCCACACGGGTGGGACGACGGCGAAACCTAGCTCATTACTGCGCCAGCGCCGAGGGCTGAGCTACGGCAGATGGACACATCGGCGATCAACGACTTTCAGCTCCCTCTTCTACACTGAACCCTCTCGGCCCGATCCGTGGATCGTTGTTAGCGTCCACAGCCTTTCACCTACACGGCGTTTTCGCTTCTCGGATACGGCAGATACATGCCGTTTCCAAATCAACGTCTGCAGGACCCAATCTATGCAAACAAGCTTCGACCAACGCCGCCGTTCCTGCCAAACTAGCAGAAGCGCTCCGATTTCTCGGAAAGATTACCGAGTACGGCTAGAACATCATGGAGCAGCCGGGGATCGTTTCGCACTGCATTTTCTGCACAGCCCTGGCCTTCATTGTCATCCTAGTCGTCAACCTTGCCCTCAGCGCTCTCTTTTACGTTGGGTTCTACGGGACATTTGGTCTCATCAAGGGCTTTCGATATCTTTCAAACGAAATGAAAGAAAGGAAAGCAAAGACGGAGGACGCGGAGGCAACCGCGGCTGTTCCCAGTATTACAAGCGATGGTGGTTAGCCGGTGTGAAATGTGGCAATTGTATCGGGTTGAGATGAAGTGTTTGCACCGGTGATCAAGTCATGATCCTCTTGAGAAAACCTCTTGGCATAGCGCCGGTATGGCAAAGGGGGCCGGGATTGAATGAGAGCCATGACACCTAACAACGGAACGCGGGTAATCTTCAACACGGAAAGAAAAGAGCGGGAAACCGTTGAGCACTGGGAGTAGCACTCGGGAGGATCATTTTGGAAGCTTGGAGCAATGACATTCAGGAAAAGTGTTAAGATGTTACGTCGTCATACTCAAGGAATGATATGGGAACATCAATCTGAAGTATAAGATCTGATCCAAATTACAACAGCGTCGTAAGTAGTATGTAATAAACGCTGGCTTCATGCAGTGATGAACAGCGGGAGTTATATGCAGAGACTCAAGGGTGCCTGATATTTTGGTCACCACCAGGCAGCCTGCACATCAGGCTGCCTTTCTTACCTTAACTATTGATGAACCATCTGATGAAGCTCATTTAGTACACGTAAAGGCTTGTTGGGTTACATGTATGCTTGCTGGAATCCTTTGAAGGCTGTTGTATTAGGCCATCCAGGTGAATGAACCGTGCTGATGACCCTAGAACTCGGAGAAGCCAGGGCCACGATGGAGACCCTTCGTCTACCGGAAACAATCAACTCCTTGATCGACTTTTGAAAACTCACGCTAGATCGCCACAAAGGCAATGCGGCATAGGGGTTCCTACCTAGGAACACCCACGCAAGTGGAAGACTTTGCTACCTTGACTACATAGCAAATGCGGTTTACCTGTCAGGTGTCCTGTCGTTTGAATCCAAGAGAGCACCTTGACAGTATAACGTCGTGTGGCCTAGCGACACCGCCATGTCAAAATTACATCCCAGTTAGCGGAGATCGTCTGTAAAATCCTACCTTCGCCATTTGTAAAAGTACTCAACATCTCATCGCAGCGCTTTACCAACACAACATCTGGACCATCTTCAACCCCAACTTGACTACCTATTAGGAAAACGGTATTTCCCTCTCCAAAACGAAATGCTCTTCTCACGCGCGACGAAAGAGCTTCTGTGGGCGTGGGATAAAGACATCGCCGAGGACGCTGCCATAATTTTAGGTTTCTTCGTGTGGGTATTCAATTTTACATGCATCATCTTCATCTTCTTCATCCTTCTTCTTTTACTGTACAGCGCATGCTATTTCATCACGAACGGTGTCATCGCTGCGTTCGGGCATTTGTTTCCCATCACAATCTCGATCAACTGCCCATGCCACGCAAAAGATGCTTTTCAGAGCGGTGAGAAGATTGAAAGCGACCGTGAGCCGACCGATCATGGATCATGATGTGGAGCCAGCAGCCCAGCCTTGGGCAGAAGCGTCTTCAATTCGATCACGTTAGCAACCTCAATTCGGACTTGTCCAACTAGGCCATCCTCGGATTGAAAAAAAAGCGCATCATGAGCGTCCGCCAAAGGTCTTGCGGAGAGAGCATTACACGAATTCTCTCGGGGCATACGAGACTTTTGGGTTGCGGACTCAAGTTCGAAGGTCGGCCATTTTCTTAGGTCTACCATTGCTGTCCTGTGTGTCGGTCGGAAGCGGGAAAAACAACATTGAAGGTTCATGAAGTAATTAATCAGAAGACAGACTGGAGATGAGTCTGGTCGGAGAAAGTCCAAATTCGCGTCCTTTCAGAAACACAACCTTGTATTCCACAACGAACGCCTTTCATTCGATAGCTTGCGACGCTTTTTTCAAGAGACTTGGGCACCACAGACCGCGAAACGGTACCCTGCGAGTGATAGTTGCTCTAGACTTCATGGGTTGCGCATAGAGTCAGACATTGCATGCTCCGTATTACACTTCTCGCTAAGATCGTTTTGTGATTCGAATGGCCTCGATTTCTCATGGACAGCTACACAGCGTAGTTGAACACAGAGCGAGCACAAAAACGGTGACCAATTCGGACAACAATGGGAGCGTACTGCAGACTGAGGATCGGGTATAAAAAGATGTGTTGATCGTCTCAATATCTCATTAATTCAAAACAATCAATATCAATTTAATTATACTCCGCTTCGTTGCTTTCATCATCAATTGCATCTTCAAAATCATCTCATCCTCTTCGCAACCTTGTCGCATGGGGCATACGCCACATGCTTCTGGTCAGGCATAAACTGGGACAACGCCCAGGACTCCGCTCGTGGTGCCGTTGAATACTGGTGTCGTGATGCCTCCGATTCGGCTCGACTGAGCGGCGTGTTGTACGTAGAGGAGTGTTCCTTTGTTCGTCTTCAGATTGGCGCGCTAATTCTGCCACAGCCACTCTGGAGATAGCAAGGGCCGATGCAGCAACCTCTTGCTGGAAGGAAAGACAATTGGGTAAGTTTGCTTCATTTTCACTTGAATTTTGTCGCTAACTTTGAGCAGAAAAAGGTTGGATATCACAGTGCAATGGCTTGGGAAAGATGAATCAGTCCTCGAAGTGGACCAGTGCATCCAGAGACTCAACGATGAGATTGGCTGCGATTTGGGAGGCTCGAAGGTCACCGACGAATGGAGCTTTACGTGAGTAATCATGGCTGATGCACGAGATTTGAATGGCCACGCCTTTGCTAATATTAAACAATTCTTAACTCCAGATCTGATCCAAACACTGGTCTCTGTGCTGAATTCAGTTGAGGGTCAGGCGGTAATTGGGGGTGTTGTGTGACTGAACGTTTTTCATGAACGAGCTTCAAGATTCAACGTTGTTTTCTTAGACTAGTTTCCTTTTGAAGGAGATAAGGTAAATCAAATAAAAGGTTCATTCTCGGGCTGGTTGGCCTTTGCTACAAAATTGATGATGTTCACGTGTGGCATGGAAAGACAATTATTGATATGTAAAACCGGTAAGAGTTGCCGGGCCGTGATTATCATTGTGGCAAAAGTATGTGCCATGCCCGAAGGCCTATCATGATACATTAAAATTATTATGTTGTTTCCAATTATTATTTCCTCCAATCAACCATTATTTTCTCTCGTATTATGTCCTTCTCTTCATTATTGTGTCATTACGTTTTTGTTATCGACATTAGGTGTTTCGTATGTTTTGGCGTTGAATTATGTTGCGTGAATCGTGACCAATATTTGCAGTCTCTCGATACTCGTGGTCTGAAGATGCGTCTGCAGACTTCTTAGGCAGTGTTGTAGTAGATGTCGATCTCCTTGATCTTGAAGATGGCGTCAACGGCAGGGGGTCCGCAGCTCCAGCCCTTGTCACCGTTGGCCCAGTTGTTGAAGACCCAAGGTCCGGCAACGGTGGGGACATCCTTGCTGGTGCGCCAGGACTCGACACCGTCAATGAAGAACTTGACCATGGCGGGCTGTCCACCAGCAGCGGCGACCCAGTCGATGCGGTACTCGTGCTCGGTGGTGGTCGGGTTGGCGGGGGCTCCGACTGCAGTCCAGGTCTTCTGGCCATCGCCGTCGTTGTCCTGGTTGGCGAACCAGATCTTGCGGGTAGAGCCGCGGCCGTTGTTGCTCTGGGTTGCGGAGTCGGAGAGCCACTCAATGTCGCTCTCTTGGTTGTCATTCTTGTAGAAGAACATTCCTGCGCATTATGTTAGTCTACCATGTCATCTAGTGAGAAAAGACTGAAGCGACTTACCATTGCAAACTCCAGGAGCCTCAGCAAGGATACCAACGGTTCGGACAGAAGCGTACTTGATGTTCTGGACCGATGTGACGACTTCGGCGCTCTTGTAAGGCTTCAACTTCTGGCCGCCGTTGACTCTCAAGTTGAGGTAGCCACCCTGGATGTAGGTGTTGGTCACGTCATACTTGTGAGTGTTGGCGACCTTGTAGCCACTGACAATGAGACCCTTGGGAACTGAGGCATTGTCCTTCAAAACACTGAAGTCGAAGTAGGCCCTGTTCTTGTAGGTCGCGCCGTTGATGGTGTAGACTCCGTTGGCAGCCGTGGGCTTCGTGGAGCGTTGAGCAAAGGCAGCGCCAGCGAGGAGAACGGTGAAGACTGAGAAGCGCATTTTGACTGAGTGTCAAGGGTTGAGGTTGTCTGATCTTTGAGTGGTTGTCTGTGATGAAGATCGTTGGTGCTTGGGGTGCCGTTATGTCTCACTGCGAGGAATGGAAGACGTTACTTATAACATTCAAGATTCGCATTCTTCTTGTTGACATTCTCATTGACCATCTTGAGAAAGCGAGCTTGCGGAAGCCTCCGTAAAGGCGCGCGAGCCAGATCTACCATGTGTACGCGGCTGTGGCTAGTGGCTGGGCCCATGGCTATGGAACCGAAGCCCAAGCATAAAATAAGTGTATGCCGGACTCTCGGGGTCACGTCTTGAATTGGAATAGCCTCATCGTCTAAGGCTCATGTCACAATCTCGGCCGAGACCACGGCAGGTAGAGTATCTGAATGCAGAACTTACACGCTCGATGGGCAATTGCTGATTGATGGTAAGCGAGCTTTTGGCGGAAGACCAAGCGCCCAGTCTATTACCCAAAGCGGCCTCGCCCAAGAGCTCGGTTCTGTAGTCAACGGCCTGTGGGGAATAGACAACCAATGATCTTTAGGGGATCTGGTTTGTTCCTGGACGTTAGCTTGATCACTTTGCTGAAGGGCCGTGAGGCTGGACTCGTAGCCCCAAAAACGTGGCTGAGTGGGCATGTACGTTTGCGGTCAACGGCACTTGAATCCGTGTCCCCGGCCTGGGAATCTCACGTCATTAACGGGTCCATCGGACCCTTAGCGCCACCGAACCAAAGCCATAGCTCCGCTGTCACTCTTTACCGAGGGCTCTAAGCTCTTAGATGATGAGAGGAGTTCTGTCCGTCTCGCCGATTTGGGAGCTGTGCCCCACGGCCGCTTTCGTCAAGCGGCCGAAAGCAGTCCCAAAAGCCCAGGGCCAGCTTTTCGGCAAGACATCTTGAAAGAAGAAGACGGAAGCCATGATTTTTTTCCCCCTTCCCACTTGCCGTGAAAATCTCTTTTGCCCCTGGATAATACAATGGCAGACATGTTGCTGTTTGTTGGCCCCGCGTGGAAGACACGAATGTCTTGGCCGTTGCAGAGGTTTGCCCTGCCAAGAAAAGCACCAGTCGTTCACAGGAAGTGAGACATGACACCTCATTGTGTCTCACTTGGGAGGCAATGAGCAGTCTCAGACAGCGGAGTGACCGGCGAAGATGCTGGCGGGAGGCCCGGTGGCACTCCCATACCGGATGTGACCCGCACCTGTCCGAGACATGGCACGGAACGCGGGGCGGTGCAGCTGGCGGAGCCGGTCCGGGGCTCGGAATGGCCGGCCCGCGAGCGGGAGTTTTTGGTTTTCGGCGGGTGAGCAGGCCCGGCGAGGAATGATCAAGAATCAACATTGGGAATTTCACAGAAACGATTTTAAAGTAGATGGAGATACAAAATTGTGTGTTACACTCGGAGATGTTAGAGAACAATCCTCCTCAACCTAGATTTTCGAAGGCTTTGGTTGTCATCCCCGCGCGGCCCACCCGAGATCTCCATCACCACGCTTAAGACCATCTTTGTGTTCCAAAAGCCACTGTCTCACAGTCACAGGCTTCTTTCCAATCGTTCTCTCCACGAAGTTGTTCAGGGCCCAGACTTCCTCGTGCGCCTCTTCAAATTTGAAGAAATTCCACAGGACTTGCGACAAATGAGGACCCATAACTTTGCCGTAAAAGCCAGCAAACGCTTCATGGCTTCCGTCGTACCCAATAGGTTCGTCAAAAATTTCTGACATGATGATCGACAGCTCTTTGAAAGTGATCAAGTCGTGTCCGTTATTCATGGTGTGAAAGGCGCCAATATGCTTAGCATTCGTAGAGAGGAAAAGTCTCCCAACAACCTCGGCTATGTCCCTTGGGTCCATCCACGGCACACGATGCTCGGGCCAGATGAGCGTCTTCTTCGCTAAGACGGCTCGCATCTGGATTGCAAGGTTGTCCATAAAAGTGGCCCCGCAGTTGACATACGTAACAGGAAGCCCGCTGTCGTCGAAGATCTTCTGCGCAATCCGGTGCTCGACGGGTAGGGAGCCAGGGCCAAGCTCAGGGGGGATTTTCGACGATGGGAATTCTGGGAACACGCCCATGAAGCGGATTATGTGAGTTGCACTACCCGCTTGCTTCAGCGCAGAGACCAAGTCCGTCATGGGCTTTTCCTCATGAAGTCCCGGAGGCGTTATCACGAAGACTCCCTCCGCGCCGACAACAGCAGCCGACAGAGATGCAGCATCGGCATAGTTGGCAACAACTACTTCAGCGTCTGGGAAGGAAGATTGAAGTTGCGCTTTCTTTGAGTCGTTGCTGGTGGCCAGACGCAGCTTAGTCGTGGGCGCTTCGCGGGCCAAGAACTGTGCCAACGGTCCTCCGATGTGCCCAGAAGCCCCGAAAATGAGGATCGTGGAAGGGACAGCTTTTATGTAGGTTGCCATGGTCGAGTTTGGGGGTTGATTGAGGTAAGTGATCGATTTGATTTGCTTGCTTGACTATCAAAATAATTCTAGAATCTGGAAATGTTCCGCCTTTATACTAACGATTGGCGACGACCGATCGGTGTGCGCCAGGGGATTGCGGTCCGGTCGGGCCTCGTGAAAACCACAGTCGGCGACAAATGCCCCCGAAAGCCTAAACCCTTTCTACCGGTTTTGACAACTGGAAACTATTGCGAAGAGAGCTGTATCAGATGTAGTGGAGTTCATCCGAACTCCTCTCTCGGCATCTAATTTCCCAATCGGTCGAAATGACGCCGTGACCAAATTATACATCCGCTGGGGAAAGCAACATTACCGCTGATTTTTTACGCTTAATTGAGTCCGCAGTTGACATGGCTGATTAATGCATCTATATCAGATGTTGATCGACCAGATTGGGGGATCCGGGGAGGCGTACCAATATCCATCGTATTGATCGAGTTTCCCGTGGCAACAAAGCACTGTGCACACTGCTGTCTTGTTTGTTGGTGCGCTAAAGGTTGCGTCGTCTCTGACGAGATGAACGCGTCAGATAGCAAACAATGAGATCTTGGCTTAGGCAGAAGCATTGGACAAACCAACATGTTCAAAGGCAGCCTATCATTACAAGCCAACAAGCAGTCTGAAACGGCAGTATTAGTATCGACTTTCGTCCTTCTTGAAGACTGGAGTCTGAGAGCACTTCTGGTTCTTCAACCAAAAAGCGTAATTCGTTTCGCTGGCAGTCATTATGGGAGGCAATTTCTCCCTTCTTTCTCAGTCCCTTTTGGGTCAAGCCGTGCCGCACATCTCAGTCCGCATCACAGCATCGTCCGACCAGCTAAATATGACTGAAGGAATCTCCCTAACGTTCTTCATCGAACTCATTTTACACCATTCTCAGCCTATCACGTGGGAATCGCATGGCTGGGGCATAACCCACACTTCAACCGTCTTTCGCGATGGAGGCTTGACCTTCAGGGACACATCGACTGGCCAACTTGTTCCCCGAGGCCATATTGACATTTGTGTCGAGAGCGACGACAACAAGATAACCGAACGAAACAAGGGAGGTTGGACAACACTGTACCCTGGAAAACCGCATGTCTTGGAGCCGAAGCTCGAAGGGACTTTGGGACCTCAATACTGGCCGCCGCCCCAATGGACAGGTGAGACGGAAGAGGAATGCAGAAATCGGCCACACACTGTAACGTGGCAATTCGTGACGCAGTTCAAAGATGGTAAGACCTACGAGGTTGGCATCAGCGACATAGCAAGGATTTGGTGTTACTGGAACGGGACTAAAGACGACTTTTTGAGTGGTCGAAAGAAACAGTCTGACGCGACTAGCAGGTCTGGTCCGATCGTATACAAGATTGAAGAGACGGTATCCTTCACGGTCAGTCGGCCAGACGCGGACGGAAGTTTGAACTATTTCTTGGGTTAGGATCAACATCTATCTAGCAGCATTAATGATGCCTTGTGAAGCAATCAAACGTTGGGGGATGTGACATCATACAAGTTTCCAGCGCGATGAAATCGTTATCGTTTATTCTTTCATCGACATCATAGTGTATGAGTCGCCTCGTATCATGAACCATACTACTATCATCAATTATACCCATAGAGCCCCATCTCGTCCAACGTTAACAGCCTAGTTTCGGGCAAACCTCGAGTGGTCTCTCGGAACACCTCGATATACACCCATATGACCTCTGGCTCTTAGAAGCGCAATCCATCACGCAGGACCAGCCCTCTGCCTTGACGCACTCATTCCATCCGCCGTAGGTGCATGCGCGGGCACCAAAGTTGGAGCGGGCGACGATGGGGCTGAATTGGGCTTCTCGGTTCAGCTCTCCAAGAGCAGTCCAGATCTCATCGGCCGTGGCCGGACGGTCGGCGCCAGCAGCAAAGATTGAGATTGCGTGCGCAGCGAAAAGAAGCTGTATCAATGCGTCAATCTCATTAGCGCACCTCCGTTGTAAGTGAAACCGAGGATGCGGGCAAGAAACATACGAGTGAAGAGGACTGCATGGTGGTCAGTATGGATGGTACTGAGCGTGTTGATAGATCACGGTCGTTCGCTTGATAAAGATGGTGAATACCAGCCAAAAGAAGCGAAAGAAACTGTTGTATTTGTAGATAGCCACCCTGCGCAAGCTGCTGCGGGTAGAAATTGCCTCTGGAGCAGTCGAGCTTTGAGTTTCTAGGCATCCAGGATAACCACATCAAGGGAGACGTTTCCTACGATTCCGGTTCGACGGGAGTAATGAGTAATTGACCTCGAGGGAGCCCTCGCGGGACTAGGCCGTCTTGGCGGCGGGTCGATCAACAGATACCCCATGCAGTGACCCGCGGTCAGCCAGTGTCGGATGTAAGCATAAAGTCCGGGGTCAGCACCAATAACCATCAGTGTTGGGGGCAGCTATTTAGTCATGTCAACACCAACGATCCTATTGGAAATGATCACGATAAGTTGAAGCTAAACTGGTTTCTAGGTAAGTAGTAATCTTTCAGAGATATCTCTTTAGCCGGGCTGGCAAAGTTGTTACGTGGCATTCGGCCTCCCACTGAACTAGACCTTTTGTAGATCTCCAACACGAATGATTGCGTGGTGTATGCCCTTGAACCAACACGACATACCTAAGCGACAAGAGCCAACACGAACATAGTTAAGCGAAACACAGGCAGCAGTTTAAAAACAAATCGCAACTCTTGGACGCGTAACTTCAAATCCACCATTGGCTGTGCCGCTGCCCGATGAGTAGTATGCGTCTGTGATCTGCGTTTCACTTGACATCTAGACGACGTGTTGTCCCTAGTGTCGATGCTAATGTTAGGTGGACAGTATCTTACAGCATGAAAATGCCTGTCAATCAAAGTTTTTGAATATTTCACTGAATTGGCAAAGGACAAGGTTGAGGGTCACTGGAAGCCACTCAGCACAAGACTATTTGAAGTGAAAGGCGAGTCTGTAGGTTGCACTCTATCATTCCTCGCAATTGTGGAGGGCACCATTGGGGCCCCAACAATCAGCTTCGCCTTGAGGTCATCTTTTCCCTTTTTCTTCAATCATTTTCATAACTTTTTAGGGGTGGTCACTACTTTTCCGAATTAAAAAGCTTGTCCTTTTTTCTTCAGAGAAGAACGAAGACGTATATTGAAAAGTCCTATGGAACTTCAGTTGTGGCACTGAGAAAGGCAATTTCCCACACGTATCATGGCCAGCATACTGTTCCAAATTGATTGCTGACGGCGGTCGTTAGCGTCATCTCAAGGTTTTGCAGAAAGCCATACACCTTTTGTCATGTTCTTGAAGGTCACATGTTGGGTCAGTAAGGTAGAAAGATTCCGGTTTTCGTCGAGTCATCCAATATTGCAAATAGGCGAACAGACTTGAGAACCTGCATAGTAGACCTGTATAGCTTTGCGCAGAAACCCTCAGCTCGATGACTGTTAAAGCTTCGAACTTAAGGGTGCGGCTAGACCAGACCTAACAGGATGATCAGAGTCTGAGCTATAACTAGGCCATCAATTTCGATAATCTAAGCGTACTTTGGTTGATGCTCTTCCCCATATTGCATCACACAACTACAAACCAAACAACTTCAACAAAAACATCTACACCACTTACATCTACACCATTTACTTTTACTGCATAGACATCTACTCCATCTGCATACGGCTGACAGTAATAACCAAAACTACCAGTGCCGACAGCCGACATTCATAACAACCAATCATTCAAGATGGCAGCCGTCCAACCCAACATGATCACCCAGTTCACCTCTAATCACTCTGCGGGGCCTCTCAAACACATCGGCGAGGGCGCATGCGGCTCGGTCTGGTGCGCCTCCTCCAAATCCTCCCCATACAGCGCCAACACGCCCCTCGTCCTGAAGCGCGAGGACATGTCCAACGTGCGCTCGATCACCCACGAGGCCGAAATACACCACCACATCCTCCAAGCCCTCGCCAACCCCCGCGTAGCCACCACCCTCACTACCTTCCGCGTCAACGTGCCCCTCTCTCACGGCCTCCTCCACCACACCAACTCCGCAGCCTGGTCCCAGATCCTGCCGAGACTGCCTGCAGGCTACACAGCCTGCAGCGCCCTTGTCAGCGAGAAAGTCCACCCCTTCCCCTTCCGCGTGCGCAAGCTCCTGCTCGAGCAGTTGACAGCGTGTGAGGACCCGCAGAAGGTTGCGCAGGGGCATATGAATACGCACTGCCTGATCAGAGCGTACCTGGGCAAAAGGATAAACAGCCGGGTGGAGGAGGACGCGAGGCCTGCGCATTTGAAGAAGCTCCGGCCTTACATCTTGAGGAACTTTCCCCTCTGCGTCGACCAGATGGAGGACCTGGAGCTCAATGTGGACGGATACGCGCTCGCCATGGCTGATGCGCTTGCGTTTATGCACTGGACGGCCAAGGTGGATGCGAATGATGTCGAGTTCGTCCTGGGGCAGCGCCGAAGCGACAAGACTCGACAAACGCTACCGTGCATCGGGAAGAAGGACTTTGAGTCCGCGGCGCTGGGGCCGCATGCTTTGTGGGTGCTGGATTTCGACTGCTGTCGGAAGATGAGCATGGACGAGGAGGGGATCAAGACTGCGTGTAAGAGTTTCTGGAGGAATGATCAATACTACCCGAGACCTGGCAGCAACAACCCCTCTGATCAAAGACTTTGGGCAGTTTTCAGGGAGCAGTTCCTCAAGACGAGCGATGGGTTGCTGGAGGGCGAGAACGAAGGGGTCAAGAAGCTGCCTGTTATGCTTATGGACATGATTAAGGAGACTAAGGGGAGGTCTCTCAGGGGAGCCTTAGTGTCGGACGATCGCATTGAGGGGCAGAAGTGAGGATTCTTTCACTCCTACAAGCGAAAGACGAATGTGAGAAGTCTGATGTTTTTCAGGTTTCTCGGAAGATTGATAAGGTTACGAAGATAGATGGACACGCCGATAATGAGAGTCCCGAGAAACACAAACACCCAATTCAACCACTTGAATATCTTGAAGATCGCCAAAAGAAGTGCCTTAACATATGTCTCAGCCAGCAAATTTCTACGAGGAGTCTACACAAGGCACCTCCTGCCACCAAATCCCACTCACTTATCCTCTTGTCGCCTCGCTCATATGCACACTTTCTCACTTTCCATCCTAACGTTCCTATCACAGACATCACACATCCCAAGCCAGACACCAGCATCATCCACAAATTCGCGACACCCAAAACCCGTCACGACTTTCCCTCTACACACGCCGTCGTCGATCACCAATGCCCACTCGCCTCCGCCTTCCAAACATTCATCCCATACGCAGCCGCCCGCAGTGAAGGGGAATGTTTACACGAGCGACTATTTTTGGTCGGTGAGGCAGGGGTCAGATACGTTGCCCGTTTCAGCACGCGCAAAATCCCCTCAAACCCACAGAACGGGGCCAAAAGCCCGCCCGCCTCATCGGAAGATAAAGAAAGAAACAAAAAGTGACAGGTTTTCTGACGGCGAAGGAATTACGTATATGATGTCATCTGTGCGGTCGACAGTGTTTGTGTCTTGCAATTTGCGAGCGTTCATCATTAGCCGTGATAATTTGAGTATTGTACAATGGTATCCCACCCCCCTTTGACCTCCCTCCCACCTCCGTCCGGTATGATGATTCTGATAAGCAAAAGGAAACAGGAAGGATTGTTGGCGGGTTTTGACAGGTGAAATGCCATCTCTAATTGAAGGTTTTATGCTTGACGCATTGTTCGGGCGACCCATCATCCGATCCTTGGACGGGGCCATCCCGGCACGAGCTTAAAAAATGTCGCCGTGATTCTGATATGTGCACGCTGTAAGGACTGTGGGTATTATTCGCGTTGGGTGTAGTAAAAGCAAAGAAGACATAACAAAGAATTCAGCTTCATCCAGGGCCAATGAACTTCCTATCAGGCCCCCTCTCAGCCCGCGGCAGCTGTCCCGGTAGCGGGTTATACTGCGGCGAGTATCGCGAGATGGCTTGGGCCGGGTACTGCGGCTGCTGCTGAGGCTGGAACTGCGACTCCTGAGGCTGGAACTGAGACTCTTGCGGCTGGAATTGAGGCTGCGGCTGCACTGGTTGCTGAGCCGGCGGCGGTGGTGGTTGGTAAGTATCCGGGTTATACGGCTGATACCCAATGTTGATCGACTCGCGGTACGGTCCCTGGCCGATGCCCTGGTACATGTCATACGTGGACGGCGGGTACGGCACCTTGGGGTACTGCACCGCCTGCGAGGACGGGCGCTTCATGGTGCTGATGCGAAGCGGCTCCGGGACGAACGGCGGCTCGTTGTTGGCGGTGGCGGGCTCGTTGATTGACTTTTCGTAGTAGAAGCTCGTCGTCGACAAATTCCTCGGCGCGGTGTTGGGAGTGTTGTCTTTTGGGGGCGGGGCCGGGATCGCGGCGTTGGCGGCCATGAACTGCGCGACCATCTGCTCCTCCATCTCGCGGGTGGTGCGGTTGGCGATCTTTGTCTGGCGGTAGGTCGCGACGAGGGTCTGCTCCATCTCCTTGGTGCTGCGCTTCGGCTGGCGGAGGATGGCGGACTCGCGGGGGAAGCTGGCGGCGGCGGGCGGGTTGGTTGGGGGCGGTGCGTTTTGCATGTTTTGGGAGACGGCGTCGACCTTCTTCCTGCGGTCGCGGCGTTTCTTGAAGAAGATGAAGGCGCCGATGAGGAGGCCGATCAAGGCTGTAGATGTGTCAGTGAGCTGATGAGAATTTGTTCTCAAAGGGGATGTGGCTTACCGACGATGCCGAAGGAGACCCCGATGGCAAACGGGCGGTTGGAGTCCGGGGCGGGTGACGGCGTTGCTGAGACGGCGCCGTTGCTTTCTTGCATCTGCGCGTTGGAGGGCACGATCTGCGGGTCTGATGTCCCCGAGGCGGCATTTCCAACTGTTGGTGGTGAAGGAATCGCAGACGGGGTTTCTGCTGCAGGTGGTGGTGGCGGCGGCGGCGGTGTAGATGGTTGCACAGCAGGCGGAGGAGGTGTCTGTGAAGTTTGTCTTGACGGAGGCGGTTGCGGAGGCGTCGAATTCGGGGCGGCGGACGGAGTTGCAATGGGCGGATTTGATGGTGGCGCCGCCGGGGGGTTCGATGGCGGCGGTGCGCCGGGGACGAGCGTGATGAAGCCCCTCGCCGGCGGGAAGCTCGCCGGTACGGCCGGGTTCAGGGCGGCGGGCGGCGCTGTGGGCAGGATCGTCGGATTCGTTGCTGCAGGCGGTGCGCCTGGAGCCGGTGACACGGAGGGCTTTGGTTGTTCTTCTTCCGAGTCACTGCTGGCGCTCGATTGGGCTCCTGGTTGTTGCTGCGCATCGGAATCGCTGGCGGAGCTGTTGGACTCGGCCTCTTGCTGAGCACCGTTGCCCTGTTCCGCTCCGGATTCTTCTTCCTTTTCTTGTTCTTCCGCCTTCCTGTTGTTTCCAGCCGGGCTCTCTTTCTCCTTCTCCTCTTCCTCCTCCTCTTCTTCCTCTTTCTCCTCCTCTCCCTCCTTTTCTTTCTCTTCGTCCGCCTCCTCGCCGTCGTCTTGTCGAATAGCTATCCTCGGCCCTTGGCGACGGACCAAGTTGTGACGCGGTCTGCCGGGGAACTTGGGCTCCGTCCTCCTCCTCCGTTGTCTACCCAACACCATCAGCTTCATTGTTCGGGTCGTCGGTGACCATGTTTAACCCACCTGAAAGTCGACCAAGTCGTGGTCCCCTCCATCGTGAAACCTCTTCCTCCACGTCTTCCTCAAAATTAACAGAAACTTTGACGAAACGGACAAAACAAGACGGTAATGCGGCCAGCGGTACTCAAGAATGGAACAGAAAACAGCACAGCTGTGGAAGTCTAAACAGAAAAGAAGAAGCGCAAGCGCTTCATGGAGAATGGAACTGGTCGAACCCGCCGAGCCCTTGAACCAGAAAACAAAATCAAGAACAAGGAGAAGGCCAAGAAAAGGGAAAAAGGGAAGAGAAAGAAACCCTCCCGGAAGCAGGCACCGGCGCCCTCGGGGGATGCTGCGTATTATTCAAATGTCGCCTACGGACACCCGCGTAGACCTACCTTCTCCCGCCGTCTTCTCCCCGGCACTCGGACATAAAAAAAACCCAAAGCTCCCTCCCCTCCAACACCCCCATGTCCTATCGCGGGCCTCACATCAAACGTCTTCCAAGAAAACGGGGAACAAGGGGGGCTTCGAGGTGATGAACGTTCGCTTCTCCTGCGTTGTCGAGATGGGGCTCCCCGTCTGTTGTGTGTGGTGCGACAGGTGCACGCGAGCGAACCTCAGTCATGACAGGGGGTCATGAAGTGTCCATGTGTCCAATCACAGAACACCGTCAACCGGACATTCAGCGCAGTTTGCCTCCTCAAGCTGCGCCGGCGGCCGTTTGTGTTCACTGTCCAGCAGCGGCTGGAGCCCTTCTGCCGCGAAGAGTCGCACCCAGGGGCTGGGCTGGGGTTTCAACTGTCGAGAGGACCCATGCCGCTGTCACCCGCATGCCGCACCAGAGAGGCCCCCCTCGGCCGTGTTTGACGCGCACCTTGGCGCTTGGCCTGACGGCGCCTGAAACCTGGGAGATGCAACTGCGCTGGAGCTGTCCGTACGTATGAATAGGCAGTTTTGCTGTGCTCTCTCACCATCTTTGGCCGCCGGTCGGGGCTTTTCTGTTGCTCGACATCTTCCATCTCCACTTGGGCGCCGCGAGAACGGGGTCGACAGGGCTCGAGGTGAGGATTGAGCTCGCGTGGGAAAGGGACTTTGTCGTTGGGGTCCCTGTCGGAGGTTTAGAAACATTGCTCTCGTCTTTTTTTGATTGTCCGCCCCGACCGGCGTCGCACCAGGACCGCTCGACTCTCACGATCATCACCGCATCTGTCCCTCTTCATCGGGTCATCGAGGCCGCCGCGTCCGGACTGTGCTGTCCACCGGGCATGATGGCGTGCATTAACACAGGAACCAAGGAAACCGCAAAGTTAGCAGGTTGTGCCGAGAGATTGACGCCCTCATCGTCGTCACCACGAACACGGCCCGGCCGGAGACGAGTCGCGATCACCGCCAGGATGGCCGCAGGCTGTCTTATCAATCAGGTCAACTCTTGCCGACGCCACCAAGTCGCGGGACTCGTCAGGTCTGAGGACCAGCCAAATCTCCGTCGCCGGCCGCTTCGCTCTGCCAGCTGTTTGGTCGGTATCTGGGGTAACAAACGGGCCATGGGTCTTCTCGTCCGGGTTGTGGCTCACTGAGTGAGGAGGATGCCGTGGGCCGCCCACCACGGGGTCGTCGATGAAACTGGAAATGCATGGGCGCCCTGCGCGCATCCCTTTTGGCTTTCGCGATTTGTCTCCTGACGATGACGTTGGAGTTCTGCCTTTTTTTCTCGTGTTTGGTGAGGTCTTGGTATTTCTATTAATATGGCCGAGTTGCCTCTCAATGCTCTCTTGCGCGCGCCTGGTGTTCTTCGAGCCGTCCTCGGTTCGACTAACCTTTCCGGCTGCGATGCCCTCCGAAAGGCTTGCATCATGCCCGCTGATGGGTGATGACTGAATGATCTGCGTCGGCTGGACGGTGGACGGCATGCGCATAAGAATCATCTCGCTCGAGTGATTGCACGATGGCAACCGATCAATACACAATTTCGCCAATGTGGTCATGTTGAGCTGAGCTTGTCGATAACGGTGATGCCTGGTGATATTGCGAGCGGTGGCTGAAGCTCCACGTCGGATGAAAGGTCGCGCTGGTGTTCACACAGCGTGGTTTCTGTCCCCGGCCTTCTTTGACTGGAACACCGGCATCTTTCCAATGTTTGATCAATAAGTTATACGATGTGCCAATCTTCTAGTACATAGAAAA